AAAAAAAAATTACTCTTAAAAAAAGCTAGATATATTGAAAATTTGGCAAAAATAAAAAGCAACAACGGGTGCAGCACATCATGGACAGTTACTACATCAAAAAAGAAAAAAAAAAAAAACAGGCGAAAGGGTTATATGCCCGAGGAACTGTCCTTGCTGCGTCGACGCGTCAATGCTTCATTGCATCCAGGCTTCTATGGTTGTATTAACCGCGTGAGCGAAGGTGCCACTGAATGGCTACTTCTTTTGATCTAGCAATTTACTCTTATTTATAACTTCCTTTTGAATGGCCCTCTGAAGTGCCATCAAAAAATCCACCAGTGAAATTAAAACCTTCTGATTGTTATTATTTGTTGAATTGTAAAAGCGTAAGGTCTGCAAGGAAAAATTATGCACAATGATATAACAAAACATTTTGAGCCAATCAGAATCACCCTGGGATTAAAATTTCCGTTTACATGTTTGAATCCGGCGTAACCTATATATTGTTACTCTCTTGTGTTTATTTTCCATAGAAAGAGTTTTATGTGGAAGTTCAATGTTAGCATGCCCCCCTGTGTGCCTTTCTCATTACCGCTTGGCAGAAGTAGGCGTATGCTTGGAAGGGAACTCTCCTCAAGCAGCGGCCGCTGAAGCCGTTGCTCATCCTGGCGCACTTCATCAGTTCGGTTCCGTAGCTACGGGAAAGCGGGCGAAAAACGAGCAGGTTAAAAGAGAATCTAAAGAAGAGTAATTCTCGGGTGAGGATTTCCTATTTGCCATTTCGTCCCCCCTCCCTCAAAGTGTATCCTTTTGCACGCAGCTGTTACATGTATTCATCTGTCTCTGTCCCTTGTCCGTTCTGCAATGTGAAAAGAACAAATTACGGGAGTGAGTCTAGGTATTCACACTTATATAGGGTGTGAACTATAAGGGCGCTTCAAACGGCATGACAATGCAATGCGTTCAAAAAATACGCACCTTGAGCAATTTTTTAACTCGCTCATAATTTGGAACCTTCGAGGAAAAGTGAATTATACCCTTCTCCATCTACGCAGTGAAAAGGAGTCAAAAAAAAAAAAGAAATTGACGGGAAAGAATAGAGGCGTACGCATTTTACACACTTAGCGAGATGTGACATTGTTCTGATAATACCAATTCTTCAATGCAGTCCTTGTAAATCTCGTATCTGCATTCTTCGTTTGGCAACCCAATGAACTGCTTTAGGTCTACTCTGTCGATGAAGGCGTCATCGATCATTTCTGCGAAGTGGTGGGCGGTGGGTAATGTGTGGAGGATACTACGTAGGGGCTTCTCCGTGGGGACCTCTCCGCAGAGGTAACATCGCGCGTGCCGCATTCACACTTGTGCCACCATGAGTGCTCGCTCTGACACACCGGAAATGTTCGACGTGGTGAGCAACAACGTGTTGTGGTAATATTTAAGGGAGTCTATTTGAGTGAGCAAGGTGTTGACGACTCGTATAGTGTCCGAGGGCTCCGTGCTGTCCATGGAGCGCCTTCTGTCTGCAGACAAGCTTTCCACCTCGTCTATCAAGAGGCAGATGAAAATATCATTTTCTCCGTAGTCCTCGATTATCCTTTTAATCTTGTTAAATAACTTTAGCACTTGCTTCCCCGACTCACTAAACCATTTGGAGAATAACGTGTGTGTGTTCAGTTCAATCAGAATGCCTGCGGAGTTAACAGAGTACGGATCCCCATGGGGAAAATTAGTAGGCTTCAAATATGAGCCAATATATGCACAGGCATGGGAAGGGATTCGCTCGAAATGTCTCGTGAGCAAGGAGAAGGAAAAAAAACAACACACACAGAGGTGTACACATTTATGGACAATCCCCTCGACGTAGACGTAGCGCAACATGCCGTCTACGCATCAGGGAACAAAGCCGCACCACCCTGTGGGAACTATAAACCGGACCTGTGGCATATATATTTGAGAGACGAATGCAAATTTTGTTAGCCAGAGCTTTACAGAGGGAAGTTTTCCCCGTTCCTGGAGGTCCATACAACAACACAAGGTGATTATAATTAATTAAATTGCGATCAATTTTTTTGGTAGCAAAGAGCATTAGAGCAGAAACATATTCTAGTAAATCTCTTTTTATATTTTCCTCATAATATAGACTGTCCCATAATTTATGAAAGCGTAAGTGGGGTAAAATATATTGAGAAAAAATGGGTACGCGCTTGGCATTTTTTTTTTTCTCATCATGAGTATTTTCCCCGTCTTCATCTGAACCTCCTTCATTTTCACTTGGTTCATTAAATTGTTCTTCTACCAACTCGTCATTTTTATAATACGTAACTACATTTACAATGCAACAAAAATTTGGCAAAATGATTGGATCTTCCTCCATGGAGGATAAGGATTTTTCACCTATCATGGGGATCGTAAATAGCAATTTTGAATTCGGCCGTATGTTCTCTTTATTTTGTATTTCGTTGTATTGTGTAGATGAATGAATAGCATTTTTGTGTGGAACGGTAACAGGACCATTTAAGGGGGTGTTGTTGTGCCCATTGAGAAGGCACTCTCCTTGTTGTTCCCTCCAATGGTTAGTTATATTTGTCCTATCACAATTAGGGATCGGCAACAGGGTTGTATTTTTTGTTGTCACATCTTCTTTTCTTGACCCTTGCGTTGGGTGGCAATTCTCCCAAGTGGGTGGTAAACCACAATTGGTTGCATTATCCACGTGGACATGCGAATCGTAATATGAATTCATTTCATAAACGGAGTAATGCGTAGTGCAGAATTGCCCATACATTCCATTGTCGTAATTTTCGTTGTATTCCTTTATTATTTTTACTGGCACCGCTGGCTCTATAACTATATAGTCGCAAGACTTGTTCAATTTTTCGCAGTTAATTTTTTTGGGATCATGCCGCCCTAACGTTATGGTTATTCCTAAGGAGAACAACCATTTGTGGGCTGCCGTTTTTATTACTTCGTCAGATACGTCTTTTTCGTCTTTTAAGCAAATTTCGCAACATAGGGGGATTCGCTTTTCCTTGTGTAGGTTCATTTTGACTTAGGTAGCGAAAAGAGGGGGGGCGGGGAGAAGTGGAAAGAAGGAACAAAAAAAAAAAAAAAATTACACCTAAAAGGGGGCGCAACTTTATGGTTTACAGACACGATTGGATAGCTCTACGACGATTTTCTCCCAGGTAGACTTTAAACAGTGTGCACATTTTAGCTTCAGGGAGGGGTGAAAAAAAAAATGGGCATCCACTACATTTTTAAAGCTTTACCCTTTGGCATGAGATGTTCCCAAATGGCTTGCAACCCCTTTTTGCCACAATGTAAACAATAACATGAAAACCACACCGCTTCTTCACATTTTAACATTTGTAGGGAATGCCTACTGTTCAGATCGCCTGCCAGACGTGTACGTGGAAGGCTAATACCAAAGTTTCGCTCTGCCAACATGCAAATGCACATTTGTGTGTAACCCGTTTGACCTGTAAATACGTAAAGGTCAATTTGCGCGCGTAGATATGTGTATAGAAAAAAAAAAAACAATGCAAGCGGTGTACGTACCGCGATGAGTGCAAGGCTACTTCTTATGCGATACCATATTGTGCGAACAGTGTAAAAAAAAAAAAAAAAAAAAAAAAAAATTGCAACGTAGTGATCTCACCTCCGTTTCAACTTTTCGAGCAATCATTAAGGTCCAAGAGGAAGCCAAATTGGGATAGTAAAGAAAAAATGAGATAGATGGCCCAGTTACGCTAAATAGTTTTTACAATGGGGGGAATTCCCCCTATAATTTAAGAACCCCATGCAGACAGATTTAAAAGGAGTGTAAAGAATTATGCAAGCCATTTCGTTTTGCTGCTTCATTCGTGGGGACTCTACGTGACTTCGTTTAAATACCAACCTGCACAAATGGAATGCCAATTTGACGTGGTGGTCAGAGTGTTGAGAACCACATGGAACGTGTCTACTACACCCCAGTGTGTCACCAGCTGTCACTCGTTCGTTGCTGTGACGTATATCCACACGGAAGCCACAAAAACGAATGGACAAAGTGGTTCACGTTTTATGTGAATAATAGGGCCCTTTCAAAAAAGCTGCTATTTTTACATTTTAAGTGGTGTATAATTTTATTTGAAGCAAGGCGACGCCCTCTTCGTGGTACAATGTAAGGCGCATAATTTTGGGATGAATTCCTTATGTGGGCACATGTACCATCATAGGGCGCTCATCTTACTAAAATTATCGTAGCATAGGTACCTGCGCGCTCTTTGTTAGTTATTATTATATATAAATAGGAGAACGTTCAGCTATGCGCATGCATGGGTTTTCACAAAATTTATAATTAGGAAAATGAGAGTTTGGTGGGATGTTTAAGGGGGAAGAAGGAATTTGGAGAATTTTCATCGTGAGAATATTTTTGCGAACGGCTAGCTTTTCGAAAAAGCATGCAGCTACTCTTTTGGCTATTCAGCCACGCGTCTTTTTTTTTCTCTTTTTTTTTTTTCGCTCTTTTTTGGGCCCAATTTTTTAAGCCTTCACCTGATGATCTGTCCCTTGTGTCCGCCTCAGAACATGTCTATTTTTCATTTGACAGAAAAATAAAAAATTGGGACAAACTGGGGGAATCCCCATCACCCCCTTTTGCTATAACAACAGAAGCTACACTTCACATATCCACACGCTGCTTTAAAATGTAAAAAAATTAAAAAAGAAAAAAAAGGGGGGAAATGCGAAAGCAATACTCGTAACAGGCAGCCAATTTGCGCGTAAGTTTGTTGAAAAGTGTTTACATGAAAAAAAAAAAAAAAAAAAAAAAAAAAAAAAGCTAGCCAATCATGAACAATTCTTTTTCAGCAAACATAAGCACCAAGATATATGCTGTAACAAATGTGTAAACTGAAAAATAAAAAATAAGAACAAAGCACAGAAAAGAAGCTCGTTAAAAGAGAAAACAAAAAAAAAAAAAAAAAAACAGAACAAGACGAAGAGACACATGTGCATTATACAACAAAACACAAATGAAAATTCTTCGAATTGATATGTTATCAACAGACAGTGATTTGAGCGAATCAAATTTTTACTCGGATGGCCAGGAAAGGGACTTAAAAAGAATGGAAAAAAAAAATACGAATTGGGGTTTGTACAACATAAGCAGTGATGTAGACAGTGACAAGGAGTATTTTAGTGATTGTTTTGAAGCGGACACCAAAGCGATTCCGAACGGGGGGGAAGTTTTTAACGAAAATGTCACCCATGAGGAGGGTAAAAAGTCCGCGGGTGACAATGCCGAATGCGGTCATGGAGAAGATGACTTAACGAGCGATTTGGAAAACTTCCAAAGCTTGGACTTAAGCATGTCCGACGAGGACGACAAAAGATTTGGGGAGAAGGAAAAAATTATCGAGAAGTACAAAATTAATATAAGAACAGAATCGGACATATCTTTTGAGGAAGAAAAAAGTTTTAGCCATAGCATAGAAGTATGCGACAATGCAGAAGAGGTGCAAAGTAGGCCATTAAATTTTTATGGGGATGAATCGAATGACAAACCGTTAGGATGTGCAACAACAGAGGAGCATTCTGTACATGGAGGAAATGACGCTGCAGGTGAAGTGAGCGAAAGGGGTGACCCTTTTGAAGGGGAAGATGAATTAACCAGGAAGAAGGATTACTCGAATGAGGATGCAGCCGAGGGGGAGAGGGAAAATCACAGGAATAACGAAGCGGAAGTGGAAGAAGAGCCAAATGACAAACAAATAGACACCAACGCGGGTGAGAAAGACGGAGAGAGTGAATCCGGGAACGACACAAAATTTGGTGAAGCAGAGAAAAAAGTAAAGGAGTGCGACACGTTGGACAGTGGCATAAATGTTAATTATAGGAATAGTACCTCCAAAAAGGAGCTCGTGAACGAACTTAGTTTAACCAATGAGAAAAGGGATGGGAGTATTGGGGGGAGTGGGCGCCCAGCCGGAAATTTTTCATTTGTGCTTGTAGGGGGTGTAAGGCATGGCAACGCGCCTGAGAGGGGTGTGTATAAAGCGAACAAGCGCGGTACCGAAGTGGACGTTGTAGGAAAAACTGGCCATACGAGAAATGTCGAAAGGAGGCCCAGCCAATTCGATTGCCCAAGAAATGTCCCCCTTTTTGCTTATTACTCCATGGGGAAGTACGCGCAAAATGGCGAATGGGAAAGAAAGCAACACCACCAATCTATGGACGAGCTGAACACCAGTAGCGCCTACGAAAGGAGCGAGATTGGGGACTCGTTTAGCAGTGATCCTGAAAATGGTGCTGAGTATGGCGACGATGATGAAAATTACCCGCACGATGGAAACTTTCACCAATACCAGCACGAGAACGTTGTCTGCAAAGACGGACGGCCCCAGTATTTCCCCCTGTATGGAAATAGAAGCAAACTGAACAAATCTGAGAACCATAAAATTTGCTTAAAATCACCTCTTATTCGAAAGCAGAGTTTTAGTGAAGCCCCTGAGCAGCAGTGCAGGCAAAGTGAAAAAAGAAATACACGCAACAAGAAGGCTGACCATTACATCTACATGTGCAGGCAGAAGAGTCGAGAAGGCAGAAATGACTTTAATGATCCAAATTGCTATATGCCTCCGAAGAAGCATAATGTGTACGGGGAAAAGTTGTATGAACAGAGAAGGGTGAAAGAATTCAAAAGTGTGAGCAAACGGACGGTTGGCGTTCAAATAAATTTGAGAGCCAAAAAAGAATACAAAACAAAGGAGAAGACGGAAAGCGAATGCTACATTCCAAGTTACCGAAGGGTGAAGATAAAAATCCCCGTCTTCGAACTGAAACAGGCTGAAATAAAGAATTACGACTATGATGCAGTTGTGGTGAAGGATGGAAGGGTTGTTCCACAGAAAAAGGATCCCATACGGGAATTTCTCCGGGCCTATATTTCGTACATAGACGAGCGCTAGGGGGTCCAACATATATGGGCACATAATACAATTTGTGAAAGGCTTCCTCGTACAAGTAACAGCTCATTTGTGAGGGACATTTTTAAAAAGAATTTTTTTTTCTCCAAAAAGTTGCACATTTTTGGTGTACTCAACAGGGGTACACGTATTGTAGTGGCCCCACATGGCAACCCATAGCATGGCAACCGGAAGGGGTCTACCGTTCCGTGTGAAGAGTTTTAACGGTGCGAATGGCTAATATTTCTATAAGTACATATATCAAATGTGATAAAATAGAAAAATTACAAAAAAAAAAAAAAGAAAAAAGGGACTTTCCTCAAAAATGGAACGTTAAAAAAAAGGATGGTGGGGGGGAACATTTTGAAGGATGAGTGGCAGAACATGGGAGGTGACACTTCTTTCGAACATGTTCTAAAAATACATCGGTAAGTGGTGGGAGATGGACGAAGGATAAATGTGCTCATCGGTGGGTACAAAAATGAGAGGGAAGGAACTAAATGGAGGACCTACCGCTAACAGAGCGTTGAAGTGGCTGCTCCCAACGCGAAGGGGGAACATGTAAGGGTTGCTGCTTACTCCAGACTCATTGGCTTTTCCCCATTCTGTCCTTGAGTACACGCAAGACCTCCCCAGTTTGTGAGAACTTTTGGCCAATTTTGTTTTTCTGCGCCCCCATTTGTTTCTCCATTTCGTGGAGGTAATTCCAATCATCAAAGGAAACATACGGAATTTTCTTCTGTTGTAACAAGATCGAAATGTCATTGTTAAAAAAATTGTCTACTTTGTTGAGGAAGTTTAAAACGAGATGTGTAGAATTTTTGGAGTTCAAAATTTGAGTAGCTATATTTCCCTTGGGTCCTGTATCAAACCAGCCTGCCTTGAAAAGCCCAAACTTGTGTTTCGCTATATGTTGGCTATATTCTTGAACAGATTTATTATACAAATTTTCTGTGAAGTTGCATTTTTTAAATCCTGTAGCAAAGATGACCAGTGGAGTTTCCAAGACTTTGTTTTCTTTAAAAGACGAATAGGACATGGGGACATTTTTGTTCAATTCAAATTGTACATTTTTCATGGCACTATCGATGTGTTGTATTTTTTTTATTTCGAAATAAAAAATGAATTCGATAATTTTATGTGTTTTGTACAACTCTTTATTTTTTTCCACCTCTTGGTAATTTTTTACCATTTTTTCAAAAATTTCATGTTGCCTTTTTTTCATATTTGTATTTGTCTCCTCGCTTTTTAAAAGGCAACAGAGGTCATAATTTTTTTTGCTTAAAATGACTTTGGTATTCTCTAAAGAAATTAATTCCCTCAGCTCTGCATTAGTAAAGGATGATTCCCAGAATCCCCTTCGTCCAACAATGTAAATGTGTTTAATGTTGTGTCGTTTTATCACCTTGAGGTAATCATTGCTGATGTCCGTTTTATTTAAATCGTCTGGAGATTTTATCAATATGCGTGCTATGTCCAAAGACACATTTCCGTTCCCTATGATTACAGAGGTGTTGAAATTTTCGAATGAATTTAGGTAATTGTCTACTGCTCTGCATCGCATGTCATTGTACATGTTGTTATAAAAGTAGATTAGATCCCTTGCATGGAAAAGGCCGCTCTGTTTTCCGTTCTGCTTTTCTCCCCCACTAAGCGTGTTATCCTCATCTTTCTGTACAAACGGCAGTGACACTTCAGACGCGCCGCAACAAAAAATGACACAGTTGTAGTAGTTCCGGAGTTCTTCCATTTTTAAATCTACCCCTACGTGAACATTTCCAAAAAATCTGTAATGGGGGTTTATAAAAACGGGGTCAAAAGTTCTGTACGTATTTTTCACATTAATGTGATCAGGGGCCACTCCATACCTGATGAGGCCATAGGGGTTGGGTAGCTTCTCAAAAATATCAACCTTGACTCTTTCATGTTTTAGTAAATGTTTGCAGCAATAGAGGGCCGATGGGCCAGCTCCAATGATTCCGACCTTAAACGGTTTGGCTTCATTGGTGAGGAAGCATTTTCCCGTGAAGGAGAATTTCCCTTCGAGACACCATCCTCTTACTAGCGCGCGTTGTGTTTTGCTGCAAAATAACTTGCGCAAATTCATTGTTGTGTGCGCTTCCCTCTACTCTAGTGTTTGCGCTTTCCCCTGTTTCACCGATTATCCTATTGCCCGAAATGAGCCATGACACATTTTTAGCTTCACCAGAACGCGGTTGCTGAAAGGAGAAGTTCCCTCCGCAGGGTTGTGTGTTTACGCGGCGTGTACATTTATATGACCCTCCACGTTATGAGAATGTACGTGCAGTGTTTACCTTGCTGCAGTGACGCAAACGGGATCACACGGGGGGAGAAAAAAAAAAAAAAATCAGCATCAGTTAATATTCCTTTTGCGTCAGAACAACATAAGCTGTTTGATAAGGAGGTGAAGTTATATCAATATTGAGGGTGGCCACCAGATAAGCCCTCACACGGGTCTACACCGCGCTCCTAATTGTGTGGTAAGCGGTTAAAGTTTTTTTGAACTTTCGCGGTGGGCGCGATTACCACAGATGGGCGTTTACAACTGTGCAACTGCAAATTAGGGTGCAAATTTTCATGTTGCATCGTTTTAAAAATGACAAAAAAAAAAAAAAAAAAAAAAAAAAAGGGGATCAAGGTCATATCCCTTTAATCTGTTATGTTATCAAGGGGGCATAAAAAAAAAAAAAGGTGGTTGAAAAAACAAACGGAAAAATTGAGAATAAAAAATGCCATCATATGGGAGGTATTAATTGGGGCTAACACATTTCTTTCCATTTGTTTGCACACTTATGTAGGCTCACACGTGCATTTATAACAGGCCCAATAATACTCTCTCTTGTGCAAGAGAAGACATGTGCCTTCCTAAACAACAGCTGATGCGTTATGAGAGTCGCCCATTCATGGTGTCAAACAAATTGGGGTCGTCATTCGTACATATAAAAAAAGGGGGAACTTGCATGTTTTAAAAATATTTCATCACTATTGTGGACAATATTTTCTGCTCGAGTGCGAAGGGGACAGGAGAGTGTTTTCAATCGAATGGAAGGTTCCCTCTGTGAAGAAGTGGCTACACAAAGAGGGATGCACATGGGGAATTCATTCACCACAGGAATTTGGAAAAAAAAAAAAATTCCCACCATTTACTTATTTTTTACAACTGGCTGTGTATTACTCTGCTCGCTAGATGACCTTATGCCAACTGCCACACCTTAGGGCTAAATTGCAAGGAGGGCGAAATGATAAGCTGAAAGTTTTCGCTCTTGTTCAAAACTTCAGTTACCTCAACCCACCTGTCATTTAATTTTACGTAATATAAAATTGGGGGGAAGTTAATTAAGCCGATTTTTAAAGGAAGGATAATCAAATTAATGACATGTGAGGAATTTTTTGGCAAAAAGAGGACCTTCTTTTTAAATCCATTTATTAGCCAATTGTATTCATCATCACCTTCACAGTTAACACTTTTCTTTTTCCCCTCTAGGTATACAAAATATTTCATATAAATATCCTCCCGCATATTATTGCACAAGACAACTTTGATATTGAGCGACGTGTGTAGCGTTCCATACTTTGGTATCTCATAGTTCACATTAATTGGGAGGAGGCATGGGGGGATGGGCACATCGAGGGTGTAAATGTATTCCTTTGGGTTCCTTTCGAATGGCTTTATGCTGAAAAGGCTACGATATTCGTATGTGACACAAAGGGTTCCTGTGGTCATGCTGTCGTGGATTAACATATTTGTGCCACTGTGGTCATTATCAGACTCATTAGTACCATCATGATGAACGGCACTTTTCTTCGCTTCGCCGTAGGTCACCTCGAAAAGGAAGAACACACTCATCCCTCCGTGTATATAACTGTTGATGTCAATTTCGTCATGAATGTAGTTGACCTCGTTGCTTGGGTTTCTCTTTCCTCCCCCGTCCTCGTTCAGATCATTCGCACTGAGCAAACTCAAGCTGCTTGCGCCAGATTCCTGCATGTGGTTTGCGCTCCACAGGTTGACGTTGCTGGCGTCGGACTCATTCGGGGTGTCTATGCCCGGAGGTAGGGCGTCCTTCCCCCCTTCACCAATCGCACCGGTTGTGCCTAAGTCAGTCGTGTGGTTCGTCCCTGCGTTAATCTCCTCCTTCACGTCATTTTTCACTTGCCCGTTCACTTGCAGGACGTCAACTTCCACCGACTCCAGTGACTGCTTCTCCTGTTGTGTCCCCTTTGGGTCCGGTCTTTTCGCCCGCAGCGTGTACGCCTGCAGTTGAGCCATATCATTGGAGCTGTTATCCCTCATGCCCAAAGAGCGATTCGGGGCAAGTCCCCCATTGTGGCCATTGAGAAGAAATATTTTTGCACCCTTTATACCTGCACCACACTTGTTCCTAATAGAAACGTCAAACTTTTTTAAAAAAACAGAATAATTATCTTTATGTAGCTTTAAGATTAATTCATACAACATGGTGTTTTTCGATCTGTAGGTTTTAATTTTTTCATTAAAAATGTTAGCAAGGTGAAAAGTTTTGTCAATGATTATTTGATTATTAAATGTTGGATTAGATGAGGATTCTTTTTCTACATTAATAAAATGATCGAATTGGGTTTGTCCAATATAATTTACATTTGATAATTCATACAGATCTGTTTTTCTTTTTCTCCTTTTTTTTTTCTCCAAATCTATATTTATGACGCATTTTATTTTTACCTGGTCTGGGTAGGACTCAGGTTGATCAGGTGAATCACATGTATGTAAATTCTTTTCGCTAGTAATATTGAGTTGAAACTGTTCACTGTTAATAACCACGTTAGGGTTATTTGTCTTTACTGGTACAAATGATATAACTGCGTAGGAGTCTTTGTTCCTTTCCCCTTTGTGGTCGTAATGACCTCTATTGTTATTATTAACTTTCTCCTTTTGAACAGGACATGCACTTGTGTCCCCTGGTTTTGTAAAACAGGTATCTTCCCATTTTAAAACCTTTGGCTCGGAAATTTGTATATGGTCATTTGCTTCGATGAGGAAAAATACTGAATCGGGTAGGGTGCACTTTTCGCTCATGTGTTGTAGATCGGATTTTTGGCTTTTGTTGTGGACGAAGAGATGGACGTTTTTAATTTGGTTGAAATTGCTTCTGGTGGGACTATCCACATGGGGAACTTGTGTGGTGGTATCACGGTGAGTGGAGATGAACTCGTTTTCCTCCCTCGAGTCGACATGCGTGTGAGAATTGGACACGATCAGCTTGACATAGTTTTTGCTGTTATAAACCAAAGACGTGTTGTTCAAATAGGATGCAACCAATTGGCAATTTAAAACAGATTGTAGGGTTTTTATTTTTATATAAAGAGGAGAAACTAGCTGTTGCAGAAAGAAGCTGGCATACTTGTTTGTCTTTAATAATATATAATTGGACTGTATAAAATTGGTGTAGGCATTTAAGAAGGGAGTCAATATGTTTCTATTTGGAAGTATGCCCATTTGTTGATACAAGCAAAAGTGATTCACTTGGAGGAACACACAATTAATTTTGTAATAAAAATTCTTCCATTTTATTTGTTTGCATTCAAGAATGCTTGATATGTTTAACTTAATTATATTTAATCCAGTTTTGATTACATGTTTATTATGCGCAAAATTTAAGTGCAACTTTTTATTTGCCTTTTCGTCGTATAGCTCAATCATTACCTTATCAATGAGAAGGTTTTGCGAGAGGGCGGAAAAGACGAAGAGGTCGATGTTTTCATCGTATTGCACGCATAGCTGTTTTACTCTGGGTGGTTGGGCCTTCCATGTGCCTTTCTTTCCCTGTTTCTGGGCGCACTTTTCTATTTTTAGGCGTAGCAGGGTTCCGATGTGAGGCAGTGGGGTGGGATTGCTCACTTCCTCCAATTCGTCCGTTTCGCCGAAGTTTCCAAAGAGCATGTTGGAGGCGAAGAGGTAGAGGTTATAGTTGGACTGCACAAATATCTTGACGTCTGAGTGAGGGATGTGCATCTCGCCCTTTTCATCGTTTTTTGAAACGGAGAAGTTAAACCTGCGCAGGGTCTTGAGAAATTGTGCGTTGGGCTCGAAGTAGTAGTTGTTCTGGTAAAACACCTTCCTTTCAAATTTGATTACTTTATTTTTGTTTACAGCCATGGGGGTAGTGATTGGTTTAGAGGTGTCTTTTTGGGAGTGGCCATCAATTTGTTCACCTTCCTTGAGTAGTCCCCTCTGGACCGTGTCTTTTCCTTCGGGGACCAATTGTGTGTGCACAGTTGATGGGTGCATTTCTCCCTTTCTATTAACAGACCTCAAGACATGTTGCATTACGTTCCGATAAGACACAACGATATCCTTCCCCAGGGAAGAAAAGAAATCGTTGCCATAACATTTGTCGTGCTCAATTTTTAGGAGGGAATTTTTTGCGTGGCTGAAGAAAAGGTAATCCTGATAATGGTGCCCCTTGGAAAAATTAATATTAACATCTTTGAAAGAACAAATTGGGCTGTACTGGTTGGATAAAAAAAAGGAGGAGCAAAAATGATAAAACTGGTTATTCACCTTATGCAAAGAAATAAGTTGCATACAGAAAAAGATAACAAACTCGTGGTTACATTTTTGGATGATTTTTTTTAAAATTCTCAAGGATTTGTTATATTTTGAGTTTTCAAATAAAATAATTGCCAAGAAGAATTTATTAATCGTGGCCACGTTTCCGTATTTTCTATAACACAAATTGGTGATTTTATTCATAATGCTTATAAGTAAGTTTTTTTTTTCTTTTTCGTTATTTTTTGAGAAAAATTTTATATGATATATTGGGAAAGCTTGATAGACATTTTTTCCTTCATTTTTCACTTGCTGCATTTCTTCCTTTTGTATATTTTTTTCAAACTGTTTTTCTTCCAAGTAATGAAGGAAGAAGTTGAGCAAATACACTTTTTTTGCATTTCTCTGGTCGAATAATTTGTCTGTTTTGTAGCTATTTATTATATTTTTTAAAATGACAAATGAGAGTTTAAAAATATTCGAAACGTTTATGAAGAAATCGTTGTGTTGATAGAATGTGTAGTTGTTGTTTTTGCCTTCTGAAGGATCTGATAATGTGGAAGATAATTGCGATGTGGATGAGTCATTTAATGAATTGCTCCTTTTCGTTTTAATTTTCAAACCTTTTTTCGATTTTTTTTTTTTGGAAAAATTTTTCTTATATCCCAATTTCATAATATTTTTTTGCAGCGATAGGTACTTGCTAATATTCGTATGGTGTTTCTTCACACTTTTATCACTTTTATTTTTTTTCTGCTCCTCCTGGTAAAAGGAGCTCCTTCGCTCAAAGAGGAACTTGATGAGATTAGCCAAGTTGTAAAAGTAAACGGCGAAGTAACTTTCCTTATTCATGAAGCAGCACTTGAGAAGGAATGTGATTTTGTCTTGGTCATCTGGGAATTCCCCCCAATGGTCTGCACGACTGCTGTGATCAGCACGCGTGCACGACAGGTCGTTGGAGGCTGTCTTCGTGGGGCTTTCGCTCACGAAGTTGTCGTCATCCAACAGGCCATCATCCAACATGCCGCCATGCTGCATGTTGTCCTCTTTTAGAGAGTCCTCCTTTAGGCAGTTGTCTTGTAGGTGATCTTCGTCTGGCCCAAGCACCCCTTGGTCCATTTGCTCACACACGCCGTCGCCGCTCCCCCCTGCTCTACCCACGGTATCCACGTTGCCTACGCTTTTTCTGAACACCTCCTTGAACTCACTTATGAGGCTTTTTTTGTGCTTGCTCATGTTTTTATGGAGGACGGGGGAGTGTTCCCTAGGAGTAGCATCCCGCTGCGCGTGCTCCAGCGAGGTGTTGTGGTCACTCTTGGGATTGTCATTCTCCACTAAATCACGTTGCGCACTCCTTTGTCTTTCCCCTCGCTGAACTCCCCCCGGGGTAGGGACCTTAGCCGCTGTGCGCGCTAGGAGGTCTCGGCGGCGATACTTTGTGACTTTCCTCTGGATATTCTTCAAGTAGTTGATCTGAGTGCAATTCCGGATGACGCTGTTTTTAAATCGGCTGAAATTATGCATAAAGATAAAAATTTTATTGGTGTAAAAAAACTGGGCAAATTTTAAAGCCTTACTGGAAATGTAGGAAAATTTATTTAAAAAAAGAAGAAGTGAAAATTTTTTAAAAAAAATATATTCCAATAAGTGCATAGAGCATATGTTCCTTTCCCTTATGTATCTAGCTAAGGTAAGATAATTTTTTTCGAACAGAATGGACGAATGGATGAAGCATTTCTTTTTTTTTACAAACACGTTTAAATGTTTGATGAACAATGTTGCCATGGTGCTGTAGAGGACGTAACTTTTTTTAAAAAGGTTTAATTTACAAAAAAGTAGACAGAGATTTTCACACCATATGAAGAGGAGTAGAAAATGGTCATACAATTCTATGTACACGTCTTCATCATAATCTGTTACAAATTCTATTTCATTCATGTATGAGAACAGGTCGTGTTTTTTTAAAAAGAAATTGATATTTACAAATTGGTTACAGAATAAGAAGACGTTATGTTTTTTATAAAAATTAATAAACTGAAGAATTTGATTTTCTTCTTGTCCGTTTTGTACTTGATACGTAAAATCAGTCAAATGAAATTTACTTTTTTGTAAATTTATATTTTTTTTTTTCTCTCCTCCGACCGACTTTTTACTATGATCTACGAAATTTAAAAAGTTCGTCATGCTTTTTGTGTAGCCACTCCTTATCATGTGGTATTTTTTTTCTATACATATTTTTAAATGATCCATGTACCTTATTTTAAAGTGTTCATACAATTCTTTCATTTTGTTATTCGCCTCTTCGTATTCTTCATTTTGGAGGATTGGTAGAGACAATATTTTAATGCTTTTATAATTGTTATGATTAAAGTCTGACTTAATTTTTTTAATATTTTTAATTTCGTTTACGTTGTCCTCCAAATTGTAAGCATAAATAATTATGCATTCGTCATTTTCGTCATTTCCTGAGTCTTTGTACCGGTTTAAAATATACTCCTTTTCATTTCTGTACTCTTCCAAATTGTTAAGGCATAGGAAATAAATATAAATTAGGGACTTTTCCGATAGCAGGTTTCCTTCATTTTTGAAGTACTCAGATAAGGGGTTGTCATAGAACACATACTTCAGATGTATTCGCAGCAGGTTGATTCGCTCGTCCAGCTTCACGTCTGATAATTCGTACAGGTCTTCTTTGAAAAAGTACTTGAGCTTGCTGGGGATTTTCTTGTCCCCGTAGCAGGCCACTTGGATTCGGTCCGCATACATCATGTGTGTGGGGGGGGAGCGGCAGGATCAGGTGTGAACACGCGAACAGATCGTAGCCGTTTCGTCGGGCATGCCGCTGCTCCGCGTTACACCCCTCACGCCTCCTCGCTTTTTCACACGGGCGATGCTTAATGCGGGGTAGACTTAGGGAGGGGTCCTAGTTTTACCATTTTGTATTGCTGCGTTCTCTCTGCCAAATATTATTCCCCTTCCTGTTATGGCGAAGGAATTACACACAAGGGGCTGTATGTCCATTCACTCTTCGAATGTGATCAGGTGAACTGATTCTTCCCTTGTACGTATTTGACAACGAAACGGGGTGTGTACGTTCGATATACATTCGTCAGTTCAACTGCACGTTTTATCATCGAGGGGGGGTTCTTGTGGAGGAAAGAGAACGTACCTCGGCGTGGTTCAAATGCCACCCTACAATATATATACATGCATACAAAAACATTCTTGCATGCGTGTATGCCCCTTTGTAATTTGTAGTCCTTCCACCTAATGGAGTAACGCGTAGGTGTATACACAAAAAAATGGAGGTTTGCTCAGGGCGTTCTTTTTATAAAGGCGGCATGTTTGCTGTGCAAATTATAAGGTATGCAATGTTAATGGAGAAGAAAAAAAAAAAAAAAAAAAACCCTTTTAATGATTATGGATTATTCGCTTAACCCTAAAAAGTGGCGCTCAAGTTCTCCCACCCCCGCCCACATTGATACTACTATCATTAGAATAGAGTAAACACACCTTACTGTGTATATGTTCTCTTCTAAAACAATTTTTTTCAGTTTTCATTTGTGCAAATGAGTTATCGAATGGTATGAAAGATCCGTGCGTTGTTCCTCCATCGACGGGTTAGGGTTCCACTTTCTTGCGCCTTCCTGTATGCATCCTAAATTTGTGCACGGAAATTACATGTACATAAATTCCGGCTTTTTTTTTTTTTTTTTTTTTTTTAAATTGCCAAAATGATGAAATCATCGTTAAGGGGCAGCAAATGTCTATATGGCGAATGCTAAGCGGCTTATTCTTCTAACGTGCACGTTGTGTAACGCCCTGTACGCATATGTAAATGTAATATGTATTTTTTTTTTTTTTTTTTTTTTTTTTTTGGGTCCCCCGCCTTGCTGGCAGCTTTTTTTGCGTGTTTACGTGACCTCTGCAAGTGGCACTTTCACGATTGTTCCCTTGCTCTTCATTCTGTACTTTTTTACATTTGCCTTTTCTGTAATTTTTCCCATTTTGGAATGCTTCAACTTTAAGAGGTTCACGCGTTGCGCCCTACGTGACGGAGTTATTTTCACCGGCGAGTCGTTCCCTTGTAACGGGCTAAACGTGGGGAGAATTACTTTCGCGCAGGAACATAAAAGTACGAGGTTTCGTTAAAATGCGTCAGGGTACAATCAAGCAAAGGGTCTCCAAGCGCAGCCGAAGTGGAAGCAGAACAAGAAGCAGTAAAGCTAAGGGTATATCACCAGGAGCGACACTCTCCATTTTGCTTCTTTCCGTCTAAATAATACAACTGAGGGTAAGCAGATTTTTTTTTTTTTTTTTTTTTTTTCCATTCTCCTTGTTGTGGTGAAAAGTTTATAAAGCTTTAAAACGACAAAAAATTGAACAACAGAAGCAATACCATTGAAGAACTAAAAAAAAAAAAAAATAAATAAATAAATAAAATGAAGGAGACTGAAATTAGTATAGAAAACTTTGCATACGCGAAAATGTTTATGCATGGTTTGAAAAACTCTTATGATGACGTATGCGGGATTTTGATTGGAAAATATTACGACGTTGAGAAGAAAAAACAGAAATGTGTTATTACTGATAGCATTCCCTTATTCCATACGCACATTCTGAGCCCCTTCCTGCATTTGGCCTTCACCTTGGTAAGTGCTATTATAGGATTTGTTTGGCGAGGGGTAGACAGAGAGCTCTACCTCTTACAACGTGCACATTTTTTTGCACGCAGTCGGGCGCAAGATAGCTGCGTGCATCGTTGGTCGCTTCGTTCGTGTGCTGGTATTACTGGGGTGGTGGTGGCTGATGCTGTTTCCCTTTCGTGGCAGCCCTCATCTGTGCAAGCAGACCATACAATCAGGAGGAAGAGTTTGCACGCTACCACCACGATATTATGATCGTCACCATCATCGGGCAGATCCCCTTACACATCCTTGCGATTTCCTTCCCATGCACACACCCAGGTGGAGAACCACTACAAGGGCAAGGAAGAAAGGATCCTCGGGTATTACCACATAAGTGTGGAAGACTCAAAAAATGAAGACATAAAAAGCATAAAAGTTTGTGAGCTAATAGCTAACAAATTGGTGAAGAATTATAACGATGCCATGATATGCCTTGTTCAGCTGTCCAAGCTGGAGCGTGATGATGCCAGTTGCTTAAACGTAATGAAATAATACCAAATGGAATGGCGTTAACGAAAGAATAATAAAAAAATATATATATATAATTTTTTGACAGGAATAGCCATCATGATATGGTTTACACGCACACGATGCTCACAAATGCATGGCCTGTTGTTCTTTTTTTTTTTTATAACCATTTCAGATATTCATGCAAGACGATGCCACGGAGGAATGGAAACAATTCGACGTGAACGTGACCCGAAATAATAAGGACTTTTTGAAAATGAGTCTTTCGAACAATGAGTAAGATGCGATTGGAGAAAAATGACACAAGTTCCTGCTGAGCGATATATTTTTTCCTCCTGATTGTTAACCGCGTCATACGATTAGCACGAAGTTGTGCAGGGATTAAATGATCTGTTCATGTTCCTTTTTTTTCCCACTCCGTCTTTGGCAGGTATCTCAACCTACACGATTTCGACGACCATCTGAACTGCATTAAACACGATTTTATGAACCCAAATTTGTTTAATAAGGTTTAAGAAGGGGTATGAATGGGAACCCGGTTTAGTTTATCCATTTGTAGGGCTCTGTGTACCCACAGGCTGTCTTTTTCTGTCGTATGCACATGAGAGCGCATTCCCGCGTTGACATGCATGTGTATGTCTCTCGCCCTTGAAAAGGCCAATAAGGCCTACTCATTGTTTTGCCTTTTTTTTATTTATTTTTTTTTTCTCGTATTTTTCGTTTTAAAAATTGTGCAAAAAAGGAAACTTTAAGCGGGAAGATATTTCTTTCCTCATGTAGCTCCCTCCCTTTTTTTTTTAAATCATTTTTGTAACAGTTACACAAAAGTAAGGAAGGGATTGTTTGGACATCCTGCCCCCCACAGTTGCATACCACGTGGAGGTTTTCCATGTCCTTTTTTTCCATTGTGAGCACAGAAGGCAACGTTTTAGCTTCGTCGCTTACGCACGTAGATTCATTTATCCTTTTTGGCACATTTCGATAAAAAAGAGGTGAATGAAAGGGCACAGATGGAAGTTTTTTTTCTTTTTTTCTTTTCAAATGTACCAATAACTTTTTTAACACGCGAAGCTACCACAGAAGGAGGTTATAATTCACCTCTTCTTCATGTAACGGAGGGGAAGACATACACATGGATAAAAGTATGTGTATAATTCTGAAATTTTCTTCCCCGCCATATGCAGAGAGATCGATGGGCCGCTTTATAAATAGCTGCTTTTTACGTTAGGATAATAACACGTATACACAGTTTTTGCTTTCAACAAGTTAGGAGTATAAATCCGATGGAACAAAGAATAAAGGATATAAAAAGGACGAATAAAAAATTAATAAAAAAAGCTAATTTCCATGGGTCTACAAAAAAAACAGTAATCAGATAATCCGATATAATGAATGGCTGGACGAACAGATTTATCATTACATAGATGTAGGTAGAAATGAGAATAGCGAGAAGTATGCTCCCCTTGACCTTTACGTCCATTCTGGTCAAAAGGCAAATGGGGACAAGAGGGGTAGTAGGGGTATGGGTGTGTAAGATAAGTACATTCGAAAAGGAGACACGTCAAAATGGGGTATGAAGCGAGTGCCTAAATTTGGATGAGCCTCCGTTCGCATGCAAATCCAGCTCAGACATTCACTTCAGATTTGATAAATCTCCCCCGAAAAAAAGCTTCACTCTCTGTATGATCGAATCTTTATTAGGGTCGAAGGGTTTGTCTTTGGACGGAATTTCCAAAACGGTTGGCAGGATTTTATCGTGCTGGTCAACCAGGTATCTTATTTCGTCCGCAATCTGAAGGGCAAAAACAAGCAAGCACATAAAAAATATGTGAACATATAAATTCACACTTATGTTACAAAAGTGTATATAACTGTGTGGATGTGCTTGGGCACCCCTCGACGTTGGAGGGGGGGGAGAAAAAAAAATTTTCCCCGTCATAACACTTCACAGAAATGTCCATTTTGTATAATAACACATTTTTTTACACTGCATCGGATGAAAGTTATCTCATGAGGTAGCCATTTCTCTGGTCGGTTGTTTTGTAACCTTATGGCTGTTTGATGCATTGAACTTTTTCTTCCCTTGTGTGCTCACCTGTTGGTTCATGAGAATAACTCCGCAGTCACTTTTTGAGGTATATTCCTTGAATACGTCTTCTATTTCTGTTTTGCTCGTTTCTTTGGGGAGAAGAGATGTGGAGATATGGGGTAAGTATGCGTCAAGTGTGAGAAACGCGGTGCACACACGTGAGGCTAATAATATACACATATTTCCTCACGCTCAGCAACACAGGGGGATAACTGCTCCTCCCCCTCCTGTTGCCCTCATTTATAATTCTATCAAATGACGTAGTTAAAAAAGGATGCGAACGCCTCCATTAAAATAGCGGTAGGGGAAGCACATTAGCGTAACCCTTATTGGCATTGCTCAGATTGTCGCTCCTTTCCGGAGTGTACATATATACACAAATGGAAAGGGCTCACGGTTGTGTGGCAGCTAAATTGTGGGTGCGCGATATGGTAACTTTCTTTCTTCTATCGCGTTCTTACTTGAAGTCACGATGAAGAAATTTTTTTTCCCTAGGCCATCCCGAAAGCCTATGCCAGCTAGTAAGAAGCCCACAACAGAGTCCTGAGAAGGGGGAACACGTTCGCGCATGAGAAGGTGGGCACGAGGTGTAACTCTCCATGTACTGCTCTCGCGCTACTGGGGCGTTCCCCTGGAGCCGCCCATCCGAACACATGCGTTCTTTCGCACGTGTGGGCCAGGGGTTTGGCGTGCGCATCCGCTGCTCCTTACCTCATCCCCTATGATGTATATCTTTAAATCTGTTTCATTAAAGTACTTATGTCTTCTCGATGTCATTATAGGTTATCAAGCGGAGCGAGCGATAATGTACGTATGTTCATATGTTCGTATGTAACTTCCTCCCTGTGGCTCTTCTCATACACCAAAAAAAATGGGGGTCACTTTATAAAAACGTGTTAACACGATCAAATTGTTGAGGAGAGATGTATGCTGTTAAATGAGAACAGTTTGGGAAAATTTTATCTGAAACTTTTTTTTTTTTTTTTTTTTTTTCCTTTTTTTCGTACGCGCAAGAATACGCTAAAGTGTTGCGATTGTGAAAGAAAAAAAAAAGAAAAGAATTAAATTAAATTTAACATAAAATAGAATTAAAATAAAATAAACATACGGCCCATGTGACTAATGCATAGCCATGAGTTTTGTGAAAATAGCGACTTGTGGGATCGCATTCAACGAATAAGGACTCGAGGGAGGAAAAACTAATTAAAATTTCAACATTGTGACAGGACGCGGAACGAAAAATGGGTAAATACGAAAAGATGCGGTGGGGGCAAAAAAATGGATAACATCATGGTAAGAAAAAAAAAAAAAAAAAAAAAAAAAACTTCCCATTACCATAAGAATAAAAATTAAACAAACAAATAAGAAGGTTAAAGCCTAAATAGAACACTTGTGCCTGGGCAAAGGACATGTTTTTCCGTATCTGTGGGGAACTATGGCACATTGGCCAGGAGTCAATCATATATATGAATATATTCCCCACGTTGTTACACCCTTCATGGGGAAAAGAATATCGAACCCGTAGAGGAACATCCAGAGAAGGGGTGACGCGTCCTCTCACATTATTAGTAATACTCCTCTAGGGGATATACCCCCCTCATTGGGGAAATTTCCCTACTGAAAAGGAACATAGAAGTGAATAATACGACTGCATGGGTAATATTCGTCCGCAGTGGACTACACTTCCTAATTGTTATAAAATAAACCCAACTCCAACGAGGCCGTTGCCCCAATTTGACGAACCTCAATTTGCAGAGTGGCGAATACAAAAAAAAGTTTTAAGGAGATCAGAAAAGTTTCATAAGATTTAAAAAAAAAAAAAAAAAAAAAAAACTATTTAGAAAAAGGAAGATAACATTGGTGGGATTTAAAAATAGTTCTAAGGCATACTCTTCATATGTGTACACATATGTACATCTCAACCAAATCATGCGGGTTAAGAAAAAAAAAATGTGCAAACCTGTTCGTGGAGCCTGAAATCATTGTATTGAGACGCTGGGTTGACGCTCCAACCAAGGAGTACTTTGGCACCTCATCAAGGTGACCACAGTTATAGCTATCACATCGCTGTGTTTATCACCATGGGTGTTCTTTTTTTTCTTTTTTTTTTTTTTTGTTGCTCTCGCGCGAACAGATTGTATGGTACATTATTCGAATACACTTTGCTGCAGTGGAAAGCTGCTCCGTTGTGGCCGCTTCGAACGTTGTCGCAAACGGAAACGTGTATACACACGCGTGCGCATTGTGTGCTCCAGAATGAAGACTCATAAGCGTAATTAAAAAGAAATATATGTATATTAATAGGGGTTCGAATCCTGAAATTAAAAATAGGACAGGGGTTGTATATTCTGTCATGATTTCTGGGGAAAAGGGTTCTCTCTTTTTTTAATTCATCTGTATTTATTTTATTTTTTCCAGTTGTCACTTTTTCCCTTTGGTCGTTTATTTTAACGGAGGGGTAGCATTGCATGGTCAATCGTCATCGTCGTCATCCTCCAACACACGAGTCTTCTTCTTGCTGATTGTTTTTTTTAACGTTTTCTTTTTAGATTTAGCCACCCCGTCGTCCTCATCCTCGTCGTCCTCTTCATCCTCATCACCCTGGTCTTCTTCTTCTTCCTCCTCATCGTGGTCTTTCTCTTCTGCATCATCTTCCGCTCCGACGACCTCTTCATCATCGTCATCTTCTTCTTCATCCTCTCCTTCTTCATCCTCTTCTTCTTCGTCCTCCTCCTCCTCTTCCTCATCAATCTCTGCAAATGACTGGGGCACATAAGCATTAGGGTTCCTTCTCCTGACCCTTGTGCTGGAGTCGAGGATGTTAGACGGGTCAATACCATCTAATTCCTCCTTGAGTTTCATTTTTTTTCTGTACTCGTGTATTTCATTCGGACTGGGTAATCTTCCACTTCCCGAGCACACGTGTTTTTTTTCACAAAACGTAATTATTCTCTGTTCCAGTTTGGTATTGTATGCTTCTTCATCTTCTTTGTTTAAGTCTTTAAAAATAGTGGGTCCAATTTTTAAATCCAAAACTAATTTTCTTAATTTTTCTTTTTTGATGGTATGTACATTTTTTTCTTTACTAGTGTTATTTCCACTGCTGAAACTCTTTTTTTTTTTTTTGGAAGCATCGTCATTATTTGATTTATATTTGTTATTATCATAACTGAATTCAGTTTGTTTATCCCCATCTTCATCCTCATCATATTCATCATCGTCATTTTGTTCCTTTGCCTTTTTCTTTTTCTTTTTTACTTGATAATTATCCTCGTCAGAATTGAATTCTCTTTTTTTTTTTTTTTTTTTTTTTTTTTTTTTTTTTTTTTTTATTTTTTTTTTTTGACATGCTTGTACTATCGCTCACACTGTCATCGGTGTAGTTGTCTTCTTCCTCTTCTTGTTCCACATCATTATCTGAGTTTTCCTTCTCTGCACTTTTTTCTTTATTTTGGGGGCTTTTCTTCTCATTTTTGCTTGCACTCTTCTTTACTTTCTGTTTCGATTCTCCCTTTTTCACTTCATCGTTGTATTCGCTTTTTTCAACTTCATCCGTCGTCTCCTCCTCGTTCTGTTGTTTGTAAATTTTTAACAACTTTTCTTTCAAGATACTTTTCAGTAAGTCTTTTTTTTCTTTGCTCTCCGTAAAATATGATTCATCCACATTTAAATAATCCGCCACGTCTTTTCTTATGCTTTTTAGGGTTACTACGTTTATGTCCCTATACGGGAGAATTTTGTCAAGTATGGCTTCTATTTTTGATATTTCCGAGGAACCCATTTTGGCTCCTTCATCTGCGCTTGCGCTGGTGGCAGTATCTGCATGAGGAGGAATTAGCCGTATGTGTGTAAAAGAGCCTTCTTCCTCCCTTGGTCACTTTGAACAGTGGCCATTTTTCAAACGTGTGCATTATGTACACGCCCCATGTACCACGACGAACGTATACACAGACTTACCCATTGGTTGGATTATAACAAAGTGTACCAGTAGGGAGATGCGAAATTTTCTTCTCTGTGTGTCCAGATAACTTGCAGTTGAAGGGCATGTAACCTAACATACGAAGGTTCAGAGGATATGAAAAGGGTATGTGGTGGTCCATAATGCACAATTAAAACACAAGCATTTAACATTTATTCATTCTTTTCGTATGTAAATTTTTTTTTTTTTCTCCTTTTTGGTGTAGTCATACTTAAGGTATATATTCCGGTGGGGGGAGAAATTTTGGCATGGCGTGTGCAAAGACGTGACAAAAAAAATTGAGAGGGGGGCGGGCGCAATTCCTCCGATTGGCAAACGTGCTGTTGGCGATTCGTTCAGTAGTTGGACTCTCGATGAAAGGCGAAGTTGGGAGAGCCACAGGAGTTTGACATTTCGCATTCTTTAGCGTTCTTTATTTCTTTATAATTGTTTCCTTCCTTTTTTCGCTTTTTTTTTTTTTTTTTTTTTTTTTTTTTTTGCTGCGCTTTTATTTTGCTACTATTCTTATATGCCTTGGGGCTTTACGCCTTTTCCTTTCCCCGCACGCGTTTGCATGCACGATTGTGTATTTTTTTTTTTTTTTCGTGGAAATAATGCAACATTTGCGTAGGGTGCAATTTGTTAAGTTTCGAATTTAAAGCTAATCGATGTGGTATGGTATTACTGTGGTACATATATATATTCAAGGGGGAATGTACACGCACATGAAGGACCTCAAATGAGCATATAATTTTACTTGCCTATGTCGTGCTTTCGTAGTGTCGCTCTCATTTAAACACCTGGCGTCGATTTATTTTTCTCTCCCAACAGCGCATAGCGTGTGTTGATTTTGTATGCCATCGCTTAGTGCATAATGCTTTGTGTGTTTTTTTTTTGTGCACGCCCTTTTGAGGAAAACTGGTTGTCACATTGTAACCTTCCCGTTGTGAATGCAACTGTGCCAAGACGCCTCGAGTCCTTGATAGGAAGCCCAGTCAGTGCGCATTTACCTGAAGAGCCGCCTCTGTTACTTGGTGACCCATGATAACATTCGTATGTGTAGTCCATACTTGTATAGCGTCTCGAATGGAAAACTGTCTTAACTATGTAGCTATCCCGTTAAGTATACGAAAAAAATTGGGCAAGCGCTATTTTTGCACTTTATAACAGGCCGTACTTTACACGTATACGTGACCGCGCCGTACAGGCGGCTTAACGCATGTTCCATTTCCGAGTTGGGCAATAAATTATTTTAACTCGTCCCGTTTCGTAAAAAGGACATGATAAATGAATACATGCTGTAATTATCATTTTTAATATGTGTGAATGGAGGAACAGCAAATATGTGCCATTCGTCAAGTATAAGGAGGAAAAAAAAAAAATAAAATAATAACATGCACACACAACTCATCACATTAAATCAGTTAAAGAGCACCATTAAAGAATAATAATATAAAAAATGCAACGTTCTGTGCCTTTCCCCCAAAATAGCTCCTCTACACAACGAAGAAGAAAAATGGGGGTTTATTTATAAAGGAAAGTTACACCCAAATGCGTTGTTCCCCAATTGTAGCTCATCATTTTTTTGTGTGTACTCTTTTTTCCAAACAAGTCAGTTCAGCATCACTTGAGTGACAAAACTTAAAATGACATTCTACAATAATGGGATGGATGGGAAAGCGCTAAAAATGGTCTTTTCATTTTTCATTTAAAAAAGGTGTAAAATGATAGGCGTAATGATGCAGGGAAGAAGGAATTGTCTGGTATCTTCCTTGTCAGTGTGTGTGTTTTTTTTTTTTTTTTTTTTTTTTTTT